ATACTTTGAGGAGGGAATAATACTTAAAGTTGCTGGTGGTTTAATGCTTGAACATCCGCCAACATTGCCTTCGTCTCAACTGAATACACAACAACTATTTTGCTGCTTAATTAATTAGTTACTTGTTAGAATTATTGCTTAGTATAATTATACTTTCAAACTCAGATTGACTAAACTGAATTATAATCTTGGTAAAACTAGTGGGTAGTTAACATAAGTCTCTGTGGGTTCGACACTCGATTTATCACTTTATTACTTGTACGACCACGTATACTTGCGTGTGTGTTTGGGAGCATTAAGTTTTTTGCACCGTTGTCGGGGACTTGAATATTGACTACTTTCTAGTTTTTACTTTAGTTGTTTATTTCGTCAATTCTAACATTTCTTATTGGTTTCTCTAGTCTCAGGAACTTTGATTGAATGCGAAGGGTCAGAAGCCAGGATAGACTTCAAGGCTTTGACCCCGAACCTGAGAGAATATTTCACAGGAGGTTGAGGGAAGCAAGGGACGCAGAACATATTCAGGCACTTGTTCAACTACATGTGAACATGGCAGAGGAATAACATGTGATACCCAACATTGCTAATGTCACCTCCAGCATTGTGAAGCCCAGAATCACTGGGCACTTTGAGCTAAAGTAGAGCATGATCCAGCTACTACATGCCAATGGGCAGTTTATGGGTCTTCCACCCGAGGATCCATAACAATACATCTTGAACTTCTTGGAGATTAGTGATAATTATATCACTAACGGAGTCACTCCAGACTATGTGAGGCTCAAATTGTTCCTGTTTTCTCTGTTGGGCTAAGCAAAGCAGTGGTTGAAGGCGGAACCAACTAATTCTATTATATCATGAAATGATCTGGCGAGGAAAGTTTTGACACGGTTCTTTCCTTCAGGAAAAACTGCGAAGATTAGAAGTGAGATAGTCGCCTTTAAATAGAAATCGAGAGATTCTTTATATTCATCTTGGGAAAGGTTCAAGGGGCTGCTGAAAGACTGTCCTCATCACAATAAGACAAATGAAGTGTTAGCTCACACCTTCATAGAAGGGCTCCATCCAGAGACAAAAATTATGGTGGACGCTGTAGTGGGAGGTCAAGTGTTAGAGAAAAGCTTCGATAAAATATATGCATTATTGAACAAATTCTCCAAAAGAAATCCTGATTTGCAAGGAGAGATGGGTAGACACACAGTTCAATAATCCGTAGGGGTCCTTAAGTTAGATGGTGTTTCTGCATTATCAGCACAGGTTGCCACATTGGCTAACCAAGTCAATAAAATGACCTTGGTTATTAACAAGCAACAAGGTTAACAAGTGCAGATATTTTGTGAAGTATGTGGAGAGGGTCACACGAGCGACTTATGCGCAACTAATCCAGAGTCTGTTTATTTTGTGGGTAATGCAAATAGGGGCCAGACAAACCAGTATGGGAACACTGGAGGAAACACCCAAACTTCTCTTGGGGTGCAAACCAAGATGCTCGGAATCAGTACAGGCCACAAGCTCCTCAACAGTAATATAGACCACCACAGGCTGAACATCCTACAAACCGAACGAGTCACATTAAGGAGATGCTAAAGAAATGAATGGTTGACCAGCAGGCCCAAACATTAGCGATGAAAAATTTGGAGTGACAAATGGGGCAACTTGCCAGTGCCCAAAATACTCGACCAGTTGGAGCTCTTCCAGGCGACACCGAGTCTAATCCTAAGATATTATCAATGATGTGTCATTGAGGAATATGACACAGTTAGAAGAAGTCCCATTGAAAAAGAGAAAAAAAGTGACCTTTAATGAGAAATCGGGCTCCATAGAAGCAGAATCAAAAAAGGAAAAAGAGTCAGAGAAGCCAGTTGAAGAGGTGGTGGAAAATAAACCCCTACCATTAGTTGCGAGGCCACCACCCTCATTCCCTCAGAGATTGCAGAAAGTGAAGGATAATGCTGCTTATAAAACGTTTCTTGATATTTTGAAGCAGGTGCAAAACAATATTCTGTTGATAGACATCTTGCAAGAAGTGCCCAAACATGCCAAATACATCAAGGACATAGTGGCAAATAAGAGGAGGTTGGCACATTTTGAGTCTGTGGCACTTACTGAAGAATGTACCTCAAGAATTCAAAGCAATCTACCTCAGAAATTGAAGGATCCAGGTAGTTTCACTATCCAAATCTCTATTGGTAAGCGCGCAATCGAGCGAGCTTTGTGTGATCTTGGGGAGAGAATCAATTTGATGTTGTTGTATGTGTTCAGATAGTTGGGGTTTGGTGAGCCGCGCCCAACCACAGTAATTTTACAGTTGGTTGATCGCTCCCTTGCTCATCCTGAAGAAGTACTGGATTGAAGATGTGTTAGTTCGAGTGGGTTCTTTCATATTCCATGTTGATTTCATTATCTTGGACTATGAGCCTGATCAGGAATTCCCATTTATTTTAGGGCATCCATTCTTAGCCATGGGCTGAGCTATTATCGATGTATGTGAAGGAAACATGACAATGAGAGTGGGTGATCGAGTGGAGGTATTCAATCTGTATAAAGCACTCAGACTGCCAGGCCACTATGAAGCTATCCATGATTTATGTTGTGGAAAGTGATGTGGCTTCATTGGTGACTTATATAAGCCCCATAGATTCTCTTGAACGAGCCTTGATGGGGGATGAAGAAGAAAGTGAAGATGAGATGATAGAAGAAATTGAGCAAGTACTTAACATGTCTTGCAAATATGTCCATGGGCTTGGGAGATTTGAGGAGTTGGACAAACTTGTTACTCTGACCCCTCCTAAACCATTTATTGACGAAGCTCCAAAGCTAGAGCTCAAACCTCTTCCAGTGCACTTGTGCTATGCTTACATGGGGAACTCTGAAACATTTCCAGTGATTATCTCATCCAGCTTAACTAATGTGCAAGAAGAAAAGCTGCTCAGAGTGCTTCGTGAGCATAAAAAAACTATTGGGTGGACAATTGCTGATATAAAAGGAATCGGTCCATCATTTTGTATGCATACAATATTTCTAGAAGATGGACACATCCCTAGTGTTGAGCAACAAAGAAGATTAAATCCGATTATGAAAGAGGTCTTGAAGAAGGGAGTAATTAAATGGCTTGAGGCATGTATCATCTTCCCTATTTCTAACAGCAACTGGGTGAGCACAGTGCATTGTGTGCCTAAAAAGGGGGGATGACTGTTGTAGAGAATGAGAAAAATGAGCTAATTCCTACTCGCACTGTGATGGGGTGGAGAGTTTACATTGACTACAGAAGGCTCAACAAAGCAACCTGCAAGGACCACTTCCCACTTACATTCATTGACCAGATGTTGGGCAGATTGGCGGGGCATGAATATTATACTTCCTTGATGGTTATTTGGGGTACAACTAGATTGTCATTTTCCCAGAGGATCAGGAAAAGACCACTTTTACATGTCCTTATGGTACTTTTTCTTTCAAGCGAATGCCATTTGGTCCTTGTAATGCACCGGCCACTTTCCAGAGGTGTATGATGGCTATTTTTACTGATATGGTGGAGCAATTCGTAGAAGTCTTCATGGATGATTTTTCAGTCTTTGGGTCTTCTTAGGATGACTGTTTGAAGAATTTGGGCAAAGTGTTGACCAGTTGTGAAGAAACAATTTAAGTGCTATACACGCTTTATTATAGATTTTTCAAACATTGCTACTCTTTTTTGCAGGTTGCTTGAAAAGGATGTAATTTTCAATATTGATGAAGCCTGCCTGAAGGCATTTGAGGAGCTCAAAAAGAAGTTCGTGACTGCCCCCATTATTGTGGCACCTGATTGGTCCTTACCATTTGAACTTATGTGCGACGCAAGTGAACATGCTATTGGGCAGTGCTTGGCCAGAGGAAGGACAAAATGTTTTAGTCCACATACTATGCGAGTAAGACTCTTGATGATACATAGCTGAATTACACCACCACTGAAAAGGAGTTGTTGGCCGTTGTGTGGGCCTTTGAGAAATTCCGGCATACTTGGTGGGAACAAAAGTTGTAGTCCATACCAACCATGCAGCAATCAGGTATCTATTTATAATAAAAGGAATCCAAGGCTAGATTGACGCGCTGGGTTTTGTTATTGCAGGAATTTGATGTAGAAGTACGAGATCGGAAGGGCACAAAAAAACAAGTAGCCGACCATCTATCAAGGCTGGAAGTCATGAGCACGTGGAGGAAGGTAGACAAATTGAGGAGGTATTTCCTAATGATCAACTTTTTGCTATCACCTAAGACCCTCCCCCATGGTACACGGATTATGTGAATTATATTATGAGTGGGGTACTTCTTCCCGTAATTGAATCTAAAGCTAGAAAGAGGTTTCTACATGATGTGAACTTCTACTACTGGGATGAGCCATTCTTGTACAGACAGTGTGCCGATCAGTTGATGAAGAGATGCATTCCTGAAAAGGAGGTGGAATTAGTGTTGTATGATTATCATGCCTCGCCTTATGGAGGTCATCGTGGACACTATAGGATAGCTGCAAAAGTTTTACAGTCTGGGTTCTTTTGGCCAACATTGTTCAAGGATGCCCATGCGTTTGTTAAGAAGTGTGACCAGTGTCATAGAATAGGAACAATTAAAAGGAGGCATGAGATGCCTTTGAATAATATCTTGGAGGTGGAGATTTTTTATGTGTGGGGGATAGACTTCATAGGACCGTTCCCAATGTCTAGAGGAAATAAATATATCTTGCTAGCAGTTGACTACGTGTCAAAATGGGAAGAGGCTATCGCATTTCCAATCAATGATGCCAAGGTGGTAGCTGATTTACTGAAGAAAAACACATTCTCGAGGTTTGGGACTCCACGTGCCTTGATTAGTGATGAAGGGACACATTTCTGCAATCGGTTGTTGAGTAACCTTCTAACAAATAAGAGATCCGCCACAGATTTGCCATGACATATCACCCGCAAACAAGTGGACAAGATGAGGTGCCCAACAGAGAAATAAAGCAGATATTAGAGAAGAGAGTGAGTTTGAATAGGAAGGATTGTGCTGCAAAGTTAGATGATGCCTTGTTGGCATATATAACTGTATACAAAATACCAAGTGGGGCATCCCCGTATAAGCTTGTTTATGGGAATGCATGTCACTTGCCGGTTATACTTGAACAGAAGGCGTATTGGGCAATTAAAAAGTTGAATATGGACTTTGAAGCCGCGGGAGAGAAGAGGCTATTCCAGTTGAATGAGTTAGATGAGTTCAGGCTACACTCATATGAAAATGCTAAGCTTTGCAAGGAGAAAACAAAAAGGTGGCATGACAAACGAATCAAGCCACATCACTTTGAACCGGGCCAAAAGGTACTATTGTTAAATTCTAGGCTTAATTTGTTTCCTGGGAAGTTAAAACCGAGGTGGTCAGGTCCATTTGAGGTGGTGAGAGTAACTCCTTATGGTGAATTGAGTTGCGCGCTTTAAATGGTGAAAGAAATTTTTTTAGTGAATGGGCAAAGAGTCAATCACTATTAGGGAGGTGTCATTGATCATGAGAAGTCCAAAGTAATACTCGCTGATGAGTAAGCAAGGACCTAAATCGTGACGCGATGTTGAATCAGGCGCTTGTTGGGAGGCAACCCAATTTTTATTGCTTTCATAGCTTAGCTTTTCAATTTTTTTTAGTTATAGTAGACTAGAATTTTTTGTTTTCTTTGTAGGCATATAAATCATAGGTAGAATGGTGTAGGGTATGTAAATTGGATATATAAAGTGCTCGGAGGGATCGGGGATTTCATTCAAAGAAAAAGGGAAAACAATGCACAGACCAGCGCCTAGGCTAGCGCCCAGCGCTACCTGTGGCGCAAAAAATAGAAAGATTTCTTCCCCGGCGCAAGGCCTAGCACAATGCGCTGGGCTGGAGGGTCAGGTAAATATTTTTTCTCTCTTTCGTTTATTATTTAAAACAACTCCCCCACAGTGTGAGATAATGCTGGGTATGTTATTGTTGTTGTTGTTANTTTTGTAGATTATAATGCCCATCCCCCCTCCCAAACTCCCATCTCCAAATTCCCCCATAAGTTGCTTCTTAAAACTTGTTATATGGTGGGTGGCCCGATTGTAGAACAAAATTGGTTATTACAACTTGGTTGTTGTGTTGTATACGGAGTAGTAAACTTCAATTCCCTATACTTCATAAAATTTGGGAGGGCCACCATCTTTCACCATTGTTGAATTGAGTTGAACAAACTTAATGTCCACCATGTGTTTGATAAAATGTTTGAAAGAGTCAATTGGGCACCGGTGAAGTCTGACTAGCTGAGTGTAGTTGTATGTGATATCGGGCTAATTATGGGGTGTTGGGGTTGGGTTTACCTAACCCAAATCTTATCTTTAATGTTCACATGTTATAACCATGCCACCCACACCATGTATCTTGTACTATATATGTTGTAGAACTTTGTTAGAATTAGCTAGTGTAGTATATTAGTTGTAGAGATTGGGACCATTTGTTACTTTCTTGCACTAAGGCTAAGTCACATCGCCATGATCGACTATTTGATTTGTGTTGCATAGTTAGTGCATTATAATTGTACGGCATGGGGAAGTCTTGAGTACCCATCGCCTTGTGGTGCAACACTTGTGCATTTTCAACCAATATTGTGGGTATATTACATAGAGCCTTCGATTTTAAGTGTGGGGTCATCTTTGACTCTCACGATAATCTTAGACGGATTTCTTGATTCATTCTCACATTCATGATTATTTTTGTTGTAGGTTGATATGGCTTGTGATAGTGCGAACAAGGGTAAAGGAGTGGGGACGTCCTCAACCACTATTCTCGCTCCTAAAAAGCCCAAGCAAGGGGAAACGTCATCTCGACAAGCTAAAGGGAAACAGGTTGCCGACGGATTGAAGAAGGCACCATCGGGACCAGGGCCTCATTTAGATCTAGTTCGTGAGGATGCCATACAATGGCATAATAACTTTGTGCCATATGGGTGATATGTCTCTGAAATGGGAATTAATGTGAAAACTCTCGAACAGAACTTCCCGAACGTGCTTGCCTGGTTAAAAGAAATAAAGATGGATAAGTTACTAGAGTGAACGGGCCATGCAAATTTGAGTATGGTGTGAGATCTTTACCTAAATTGGAATGGGGACTTGTTCAAGTCACGGGTCCGCAGAAAGGAGGTGCCAATGGATAGGTGTTCCTTATGTGAATTTGTGGGAGTTGATAGCCCTAACCCGCGAAGGCTGCAAACGTTTTTCAAATGCCCAAGCTATTAGGTTATACGTCACACTCTATGTGGAGGCGATTTGAATGCAAAGTGGACAAGAACTAAGAGTGATGCCCATCTTGAGATGATCCGACTTCAACAAGACTGCCAAGGTGTGGCAAAATTTCATGCAGGGCAGACTAATGCCGGTTGAGCACAACAACAAGTGCACTAGAGCTCAAGTGTTTAATATTTTTCTGATTACTGGGCGACCCATCAATGTGGGAGAGATCATGTTGGGGGATATGGACTGCACATGATCTGGGAGGAAAATCAATAGATTCTTCTTTGGCAACTTGCTAACACAGTACATGTTGTCCCGGGAGGTACTTGAATATCACGGTTATGCCGAGGTTGTGGAGGCTCCTAAGAGGTTGATGGACATCACATCGTTGTTTGAGTCTACGTCTAAGCTAAGCTATGCGACACATAATGAGAGGGACAGGAACTTCAACAGGTATCTCTATAGCCCCCTAAATGTGATCATGAGCAGGTTGGGCGTGTCGGACGAGGAGCGTATGCATCTATGTAATGATCTGTCCAATTCTTCCATCAGAGGATGAGAACACCCATGAAGGCTCTGACACTAAGGATGATCTTGATGCTGACATCATGGGGCCCATGGCTTTGGTGCCCCTGGGAGCGGATGATGATGATGAGCCCGGAGCTGCTACTGGTGGGTATTCTGAGGAGATAGAATCCGACTAGCAGGGAGCTCTTCTTTCCACCTTACTTTGCTTTAAATTCTTACATGCATCGGGGACTGTGCATATGTTAAGTGTGGGGTGGGGAATCTACTTTATATGATGTAAATTGTATAAATCTATTTTTTTATTTTATTAGTTTTTCTTTTAGGAACCCGTAGTATACATAGTCTAGTTTTAAAATAATTAAATACGAAAATAGAAAAAAAAAATCTGAAAAAGCTCAGACTTTTTCCGATGATGGATCTTTTGGATAATTTTCTTGAGGGATTAAAGTCCTATTAAATAGCCTACTCTGTGATGCCTTTTCTCAGTTGTTTGACTTGTATGTTACCTAGTGCAATATGGCTTAAAATTTCTCAATTATATGTGCTTGCTTGACTTGAGAGTTGAACAGAACCATCTTGATTGAGTCATGTGCAATGTGTGTGTAAGAATTTGTGTTATTTTGTGTTATCATGTGTAGTATAGCACTTTCTCCGTGTGTTAATCGAAGCAAAATCATTAAGTTGTGCTAGTCTAGGAGATGAAGTGGGCAGTTCTTTGCTTGATAATAGATGTGTTTGTCACTTAAAATAAAATGCCTATTGACCTTTTCCTTGGTTACCCCCATTACAAGTCGTACCCCTATTGTATTTTGAATTTGAAATTGTCGAACCTTTACCTCCGAAAAAACTTAGTCGCTCAAAGAAGTAAGGTGAGAGATTGGGAAGTAGCTTTCGCGTGGAACCATGGAAGGTCCCTTAAGGTGCACTAAAGTTATGAAAAAAGTTTACTAGCTGAAGAACCTTAATGTATGGCGTGTGTGTAGAGAAAAAAAGAAAAGTAAAAAATTGCAAGAAAAGGAAAAAATAATTCAAATAATGTAGAAAAACACACATCTCCTAATATTAATAATTCGTGCTAGTGGGAATATAGAAATGCTTAATTGAGAAAAAAAGGGCTATGTTGTATATGGTTGTGGCAAGTGAATTGGTTGAGAAGAAAATGTGCTCGATTTTTGAGTGTAGTGTATTAAAGTGCTTAGGAGGGTCAGTCACTATTCCTAAATGTATCCTACCTGTCCCTTAGCCTACATTACAACCCATAAAGTCCTAGTTGATCCTAGACTTTGCTGACTTAGATTAGTAGAGGTGTACACTACGGTCAAGCTTATGGTACGAGGATGGGATGCACATGAATTCTTTGTGAGAGTGCAATTTTTGTTCCAATTGTGTGATGTCCTTAAATTATGTTGAAAGTCATACTGGCATGTGTGGACTATTGTATATTCACTCTTGTGTTTATTGGTGAGGGCTCATGATCTCATGACGGATTATTGATGTCGTGAATTTCTCTTGATTTGTGAGTGCGTGAGTTGAGAGTGCTTAGTGGTAACGAGTCAGCTCTTGAGGTAGGTTGGTTATGGATAGGTTGTTTGAGTTGGTTGAATTGAATTGTTTATACTTGGGCTTGTTTAAAACCGGAAGAATATGAAATTTGTATGTTCATGCTTGATTGCCGGTATCGATCACAGTCAAGAGTAGAGTGTATGATTAAAAATTGAAGTGCTCCTCTCTAGTTGAGATGTGTATGTTGTTGGGGTGTAGTTGATAGTCCCATTGCTCAAGGACGAGCAAGAGTCTAAGTGTGGGGTATAGATAATCTTCTTAAAGTATATATATTTATATGCATATTGCCTCATATTTTACTCATGTCTCGTAGATTTCGAATGTGTAATATAATGATTTGTGCTAATTTGTGGTATTTTTATGTGTAAGAATCATCCGGAGGCAATTTGGGACGAAGGTGAGTGAATTAAAGCGAAAAAGGGAAGAAAAGGGAAAAAGTCACAAAGTAGCGCCACAGGCAGCGTGTGGCGCTACCTATGGCGCAGAAGTCAGAATGTTAAAAAGTCTAGCATCAGGGCTAGCGCTCCATGCTACCCTGGGCGCTGGTGATGGAAACATTCTCCTAGTTCGCCCGGGACAAGGTTATTTCGGCCCAAGACCCCTCCAACGCGTATAAAAGCATGACTAAGCCTCTTTTGAGAGGGGAGATGCCACGTTGAGGGAAAAATACACACGAGGAACATCCGGGAGCGAGGATATCAAAGTTTTCTTCATCTTTTCTTAGTATTATCACTTTTTCAACACTTGTGAATTTGTTTTGATATTATCATGAGTGGCTAAAACCCATAGTTCTAGGGTTGTGATTTAGCCATGAATATTGTTGTTAGATTTTGACTTAAACTTGATTACAAATTGCTAATATATGATTGTTTCTTCAATTTTGTGATTAAGTGCTTAATTGTCTGGCCAACAGTTAGGTTCTATTTACTATCTATGTTATACTTGGGAAAGCTATATCTAGATTAGAGAAGAACTGAAGAGGGAATGATCTTAACTCTCTGTGTGTGTGTGGGGGGGGGCGCAGATTTGTGGTTAGGATAGAAATATACCTAGTCACCATGACTAATTAAATATCGTAATCTTAATGCGTTATTAATAGATTGATTCCA